TATATAATAAATTTATTTTTATAATCTTAAAAATATATTTTAAAATAACATTTATTAAATTTAATATTATTATATAACTTTTTAAATTATTTTATAATATATAATGTATCAGAAGTGATAATATTACCTATAATATAAAATATGGCCACAAGGTTTAAAATTATGCTAATTTATTATCATTTGCAAGTTGTAGAATTAAATTTGCTTTGCTAGAACGGGAGTTAGAACATTTTAAAAGTCGAATTTTCTTAATGCTCTATAACGATTTCCAAAATAATGTGATAAACTCTAAGCATTTGCTTCAAAATATGTGTGCGTCAAATCTTATTTAAAGTTAAATAATTGATTTTTTAATAGATTTTTTAATATAATTGCAATAATTCTTAGAAAACCTTTAATAAAGAATAATGATAAATGATCAGTTATAATGTCCTAAAGATCTATCCAGAGATTGTTAAATTTCACATCATAAAATCCTAAAAATTTGATTTTATTATATATACGAATTATGTTTGTAAATAATTTGGCATGTAACACCCCAGTTTGCTATGTCCTGTAGTCATTTTCAAGGCAAAGACCCCATATATCAAGTACCAGTTCTATCGGTTGATCTCGGGTCTTGATGGCTCGATTCAGGGTTTGCAGCTGTTTTCATTCATTCTGGAATAGCTGATAAAAAATTGACCGAATAATTATATACTGACTCGTTAAGTTTTTGATTTTGGATATGATTATCCAAATTAATAGTCGAATTAAAAACTTAACGAATCAGTATATAAACAGCCGAAAAATAGGGTCGAGTCCGGTTCTGCTCAAAACCCGTACCGAACCGAACAGTGGGGAACACTGTTACGAACTGGGGAGAGCTATCGTTTATATAGCACTAATTTAACTCAGAGTCGTAGACATAAATTCGATTTTTGATAAGTTAAAAGAATGTAATGTATTAAGTTATTTACTATTAATAAGAGAGAACAGAATGATGTTATATTTATTATATTCGAGCGATCAGATCATAATAGTAATAGTTATTGTTATATTTATTATTATTTTAAGCGGAAGCAGGAGAAGTTTTTTTCTTTTATTAGTTTGAGCATTGTATTTATACATTTTAATTCTTGCGGGTCTCGAGCCCTGCCTTCAGGGTTTCAGACCCCGATCGCGGGTCCTAAACCCTGAGGCCAGGGTCTCAAACCCTAGATCTAGGGTCTCAAACCATGCACAGTCAATAATCCTAAAATCAATAGAACAAAGTAGAAAATTCTATTACATTCGGGAACATTAAAATTTTGCGTAACAACACTACATACATTGTGAGTTATGTTGCCAAGTAAGTTATGACAACCCTAATTCCAGACCCGAAAATTTAGATAATCGTGAATGAAGTAACGAGGTATCCATTTGTCACGAGATCATAACCTCTTCCGGTACCAATTTTTTCAGTTCAATGTTGTTAATTTAACCGAGACTCCATTTTAACTAATAAATCGGTTATTTAATAATTGTATGTTTACAAGTAAGGTTGTTAATGGAGTGGAGTGGAGTGGGTTGGGCTAAAATTAGATGGAGCAGGCCTTATTCCAACCAACCCGGGTTATACTTCAAATTAATACTCTGGGTTGCACTCCGGGTTGTGCTCCAGGTTGTACTCCTGGTTATACTCTAGGTTAGTGCTCCGAGTTATAAGAATAATTTTGCTCCATTGAAACACCAACTTTAAATTGGAATGACTGGAGTATGTTACTCACATTAACAACCGTATTTACAAGCCAATACGATGAGTTTATATTTATAGAATTATGCATACACTAACTTATGCATATCTAAATAGTCCAATGTCTCATGACTTGACTAGGGATGGTATTCGGTCGGCTTGGTTTGAAACCCTCCTGGTTTAAGGGATAAGCAGCTATACTGTAGTTTATAATATATCGATATGTGATCATCGATCTCATTGAATACAAATGAATACGTATTATACGTCAGTTTATCTTTTCAAAATCGTGCATATCGATATATATATATATATAACAATCAAACTAACCAAACTGAGGTTTAAGCTGTCTTGTATTTGTGCAGCTAACTGTTTTGCCCGAACTAATTACCATCCCTAGACTTGAAGTGAATCGAATAAATAACCGAAATTCAAAAATCCAAATGAAAATATTAACAACACTGTTTCAGTGGGAGTAGATATAATTCAATTAAGTCCAATTGTTTAATTAATACTAATTGATCAATTGGACAACTAAATTGTAATTGGATATTTAAACTTAGGGTGTTCTCAAGCACCTCAATCATAGCTAAATCAATGGATCGGAAGATCAGTTTTTAATTAGAGAAACTAATTAAAAATTGATCTCCGAGGTGTTTGAGAACACCCTTAGTCTCAAATTATAGATTACGTAATTAAAAAATCTTTGGACCAAGTCCAATCGCGTAATTGGACAAATGGACTTATTGGTACTAGTACAATTACGTAATATCGATTTGATTTAGTCAAAAATATCGATATATGGGGGGTCAGTAGAAAAGACAAATCATTTTTAGTGAAATATTTCTTATTTTTAAATTAAAATATCTCAATAAAAATCTTATTAAATTTAATAAATTTTTCTTTATTTTAAATCTATAACATTAAAATTAAAATAAAAAAATTTTTATAAGATTTGCTTTTAGTAGTTGTTTAAATATTTTATTTTAAACTTGAGAAAATATTTGCTTAGAAAAATTGTCTTTTCTACTGACTTTCCACCATATACTGATCGACCATTTACTGCTGTACTGTAATATATTATTAATATAAAAATACAGTATAACAACTTTGATACGATATTAAGATTTTGAAATTTTTCAAAAAATCACACCAACGTTATAGACGTCAAGTTTCCTATTATGTTTTGTTAAAGATTTCTAGAAAAAAAAAAAAAGCTCGGTCAGTAAAGTGGGATTTGTAAATTTTTAACCAATAGGCAAATGTACATTCTGATCTGTGATAGAAAAAAAAATCTATTTACGTACGTACGTACCTTCCTGATAGGGTTCTTAAAAAAAATCCGAAGCTAATTTCTTATAATGCGCTAGTTATAATAAGGATGCCAAAGTCTCGACTCTTGATTGATTTATAACGTTGATCTCAATGTAAACCTAATAAGATAATAAATAAGGATCTATCTGAATTTTGTGCTAAAAACTTTTATTATGACCGAAAAATATTGACCTTTCAATTGATTATCGTTATTGGATATCAAATTTTTGCGCCATGGTTTTTTTCTATCCCAGTACCGACGATCATCAGTGTAGATAATCAAACAGTAAGCTTTAAGAAGTTTTTTTATACTATACAGTATAAAAAAAAATTTCTCCTATAATTTGTGGCTAATCACTTGCCTGAAAATTCTAAAATTTACCAGAATTATTATAATTCTGGTCAACAAAATAATATAACATTTACACAACATAAAATTTTTAAAATTATCGATTTGCCTACAATTTCACTTAAAAGTATCATGATTATCGAATATCGATATTTTTACACGTCCCTGTCGATTAGCGATTATAGTAAGTATGGGAAGAACAGCGTGGTGATTGAGTTAAAAATGAAATATCATTATAAGTATGAGGTAATGGGAAAGGGTTATTTAAGAGGAAGGAAAAGAAATTAGTTTCATCCTCTTTGAAGTTGACTCGACGCCACCGCTAAAAAGGATGATAGCCCGACCGGGTAATGCGATGCTATGAACCAGCTGGTAACCACGTGAACAGCAAGGCAAAATCCCATATAGTGTATTCCATGTCTGTTGTGACCACTGTTGTCCCGCGTACAACACTGCAATGGTACTCGTACTAGGTTAAAAGTACAAATATAGTGGTTAATATAAAAAAAGATGTGTGCTAAAAAAAATTTTTTTTTAAAAAGTTAACATATAACAATTTAACGTTAAAGGAAAGTAATAAGGATTTGATTAGAGCACAAGATAACGGATAACCCCTAAAATATTAGTTCACCCTATATTATATATGTTGTACTATGAAGACGCTTTAAGTTCATTTCTTGATCTATTGAACAGTTCATGCATTGTTGGGTTAGAGCACGTTAACACTGCTTAGATTTAGCCTAAATAGGTTAAAAGTTACAATCTAACGCTAAGACGTAAACCTATTAACTTTCAGTATCATGTCGTACAAAGTTAAATTTATTAATCCGGTATAATTTTTAACACAATCTAAAATTTTCCTTTAACGCATTCTTCGACAACTTTTAAAAACAATAAAAAAACAAAAATTATTAGATATTATTTTATAGATCGATTACAAAATTTTCGATTATGTATTAATATTATTACCATTTTAGAAATTTCCATATGATTATTAATTGTTTCTCTGATAATTAAACACGAATGATCTAATTTAGAAACAAACCGACATATTTTTTATTAACTTTGCTACGTAAAGTGATATGATAATCAATCAAAATCCTGAAAACAGACACATTTGCGTGATGACTTTGAGATTGACGCCAATCCATGTGAACAAATGCACAAATATATTTCAACCTATATTTGTTAGGCTACATAATGCATACATATAAATGCAATTTACAATATCAGTGGCTCAACCTTCTTTTTTTTTTTTTATTACATATTTTATGTATTGTTTCGAAATTTTTTTTATACGAGTAAAATTTAAAACTATAAATAATGCATTTAGATTCATTCTCAATCTTTCTCTTTCCGAGAATTTTTGATCTTACTTTGATCTAAAAATATTGAGGATATTAAAATCCAACTTTTATCTCAATCTTTTTTTTTAATCTGCTGTTTAACATGGCGCCTCTCGAACCTTTTCCTATTAACTCTTCAATGGAACCTAATGATGAGATTTATATTGAAGGCGAAGTAAAACCTTTAATATATAATAAAAAAAAACCCGATGATGGACTTATCTTTTTAAAGGATGCGGTCCCTTCGATCACAGAAATAAAGAAAAACATTCCTGGAAAATATTTTAGTCCTTCAATCAAAACATCATTTAAATATGTTGCTTGGGATTTAATGATTATTGCTATAACATTTTTTGCTTATATTATACTTGATTCCATTATATCTATCCCTTCGATTGTCAAAACCTTTGCTATACTTCCCTCTTACGCATTTATTCAAGGCACTATGTTTTGGGCTATTTTTGTGTTGGGTCATGATTGTGGTCATGGTAGTTTTAGTCGTTACCCTTGGCTCAATGATATCGTCGGAACATTTCTTCATACTTTGATCCTTGTTCCTTATACTCCTTGGAAAATAAGTCATCGTCATCATCACAAAAACACTGGCAATATTGATAAAGATGAAGTATTTTTTCCACTAAGAAAATCTGAAGCTCTTATCATGAATAAGGGTGTTAAAGACACAAAGCTCATCCCTTATTTTGGATTCGGTATCGGTTGGGTCATTTACTTGATTATCGGATATGGAACAAGAGCAACATCTCACATAAATCCATTCGCCCCTCTATATACTAAACATCGCGCTGGCGCTATCACTTCAATCACTTGTGTGCTTTTGGCTCTGCTTAGCCTCCATAACATCTCAATTCATTACGGCATTTTGTCCATAATAAAATACTATTTCCTTCCATGGATAATCTTTGCTTCCTGGTTAGTGATCACTACTTTTCTTCATCATCATGGTGTTGAAGAAAATTTAAAACTTCCGTGGTTTGCCAATGACCAATGGAACTACGTCGTTGGTAATCTTTCTTCCGTGGATCGTGACTATGGTATCCTTCATGACGTCACACATTCTATTGGTACACATCAAGTTCATCATTTATTTCCGGCGATTCCACATTATTATCTTAAGGAAGCTACTACCTCATTCCGAAAACGTTATCCTCAATTCAAACGTGAATCCAATGAACCAATTTTTAAAACTTTTATTAATACATTCACCGTATGGAAAGGACAATTTATTATCTCTGATGATACGAAAGTTTTCGTTTATAAAAATAAAAAGGAAGGAAGGAAACAGAAGTAATTTAATGTTTTTAATGTTGGGCTTTTCATTTTTTTTTTACA